ATGGTAGAGAACCTTGCTCACTGCTTCTTTTGAGTTTTTCTCTTTCCTCTAAGTTTTCTTGATATTTTTTTCTGCCATTGTGTTTTCTGAGCTTTACTTGTTTGAAGTAAACAAGAATTGTGCTTTTTTTCACTCAAAAATGCCCATTCTCGGTTTTCCGATTGAAAGACGATTAATATGAGATGTCAGTCTATTGACAGAGGTCAGGTGTAGCTCAAATATGCCAAGAAGCAGTTTATCTGGATATTTCCCTATGATAAGATTTGTGAATATACAGGGCACGTTATATACATGCCCGTGGTCAGTCCCAGTCACAAGCTTTGAACTCTAGAGATAACAGCTCGTGTTGTTCCAGTGCGTACTGTGTGTCAGGTTCTGCTCTAAGCATGCTATAAATGTTGATTCATTTAGTTCTCACAACAACCTGCTGATGCGGGTGACAATTTCAGTTTCGCCTTCTCGTTACAGATGAGAAAAATGGCCCTATAGGGGTTAAATAAACTGTCAGAGATTATATGCTTTTAATAGGCAAAGCTGAGACCTAAACCCAGACCATCAGGATTTAGAGCCGGTGCATTTAACCACTGGGCTACACTGCCTCTCGCTGAGGCCCAGGATGCAGTGACTGTGGTCCTTGTATTTAGATAGGTGGTAACAACTCTGGGGACAACCTAGGAGTCGTTTCAGGTGTGTATTTATATGTTATGAATGAGAGTTGAGTGTATTCCAAGATGCTTTGGGAGAAAGCAACTCTCATCACGTGGGTGGGAATAATTCTCAGACATAGTCATTATAGTCAGAAGAGTTGGAGCTGAAATTAAAGAAATGGATGAAAGGTGGAAATGTCTGTAGCATCTTTGGGGAACAGCCCAGACCGTGGGAATCACAGGCGTATGACAGCCTTGGAATTTAGCTTGATGGTCTGGAAAACCTCAGTGCTTGCTGGTTCTAGGCTGAGCCCCAAGTTGAAGTCTGAGTTATCTTTTCCTACTTTGGGGGGTGGGGAGCTCTTAGATGATGTCAAAGGGCTTCCAAGGAGAGAGTGAGGAGGGGAAGCAGCTGAATGGAAGGGGCCATGGAAGGCATCTGTACTTTTCAGATTTTCTTCAAGAATTCCAGTTCGTTCAAAATAAGGGCTAGTGGTAGAAAAGAATAGCTGTCTACACGAATGCACTGCTACAAAATGTTTTAAAACAGTATCTTCCAGAAAGATAGGCCCATATTTCTAGTGTGGGAAGGGGTGCCATATTGTATATTCCCGTGTCTCAGTGTAAATACGTTATTTGATAATAGTTAAGATGAAATGGTTTTCCAAGGGTGATTTTTGCATTGTGAAGTTTGTATTGTAGAACCAATCATCTGTTTAAGGTTTTCTGGGTTTTTTTTTCTTGAGTATTTGTATTTTACAAACCCCAATGTCGTCTGTAGAAAGACTTAAAGCTATATTATGGTATAGTGCATTAATTGTTTCACATGGCAAAAAACATTTGCTTGACAGATGGCGTCATCAGAAGATTATTTTCAATAGCAAAGGTCTCCCAATGCCCTGAAAAAAAAAAAA